CTGACGGGCACACTGCCTTTAATGCCCCTAGTTCATCCCCCCTTTTTTCTTTTTTCTTTTTTTTTCTCTTTTTTTTCAACATTTATATCTATGGGCATTGGCCTTGCTTTTACCAGGTACACCGCTTTTTCGTGCCCCCTAGTTTTCACTCTTTTTTTTTTTTTTATGCTTATGGATTGGCCTAGACAAATTTAGACAATACAATGCTATTGAACTCTAAAGTCTTCATCTCTAGTCGACACTCCGGACCATGATGTTCGAACAGTTGTGACTTTTGCCTTGCCCCGGTGTGGGGGACGATCACCAACTGGGTTCATGAGGAGCGAAATTGCAGGCTCAATTGGGTTGTTCAATGGATATAAGTGTGTAGGATAGAGAAAGAAACGCTTTTCGTCGTCCTAGGGCACTTGAATTCACGTACTAGTTCATTTGTAATAGAGGCACTCAGAGATTGATACAAGTGAAAGTAAGAAAATTTTCTACCCATTTTTCTCACTTCGATATGTCGACTCACCTCCGATTTGCCCCGGTATGGGGTGGTTCTTGACAGGGGTAGTATGAAAGAAGCTTCATAAGTGTTTGAGCTCAAAAGGGTTAAGCAAATGGTAACCTATTGCGTTTTCGATGGATGAATGAAATGCCTCTCATCACCTTAGTTGCCGTACCTTTTGCGAGATAACCCTTCACCTTGTGAACATGGAATTTTTCTGCTCAACTCACTAGGAATTAGTATATGGGACAGTGTATGGGACATGGCTTGCCTTTCGTCATTCCGACACGTCTTATTTAGCATATTCAAGCATTTCCGCACCACTCATTAAATGGTCCATTTTAATGATCCTCAGTGGAATTGGCAACTTAGACAGATAAAAATCATTACAAAGTCCATTTTCAAAAGGCATGGGCATTTTGGCTTATCATTCACATGCACAGGAAAGTTTATAACCGCATAACGATCAATCGCCAAACATGACTTCAAGCATTCATTCAAAGAATTATCATCACGAGAAATGTTTCTCGTCCCTGTACCTCAGCCTCTTCGTCGTTCATCCTTCATTTCGTCGCGGTCGGACACCTGAAACACAAACACATGTACATGTATGGAAATGTATGCATGACATGCGTGATACTAAGTGATTGGGATTGCACGAGAAACAGCTTTCCAGCCTTGATTTCATTTATGGAAAATACTTCTTGACTGTGTCAGAGTTTACAGGTTTTGGCAACTCGTGGCCATCCATTTCCACTAACACTAAAGCGCCACCTGGCAGGATCTTTTTGATGACATAAGGGCCTTCATAAGTCGGGGCAAACTTACCATGAGGATCACGTACAATTGATATCACCTTCCTCAATACCAAGTCGTTGACTTTGAGGTGTCGGGGACGAACTTTTCGATTGAATGACCTCGCTACTCGTTTCTGATAGCATTGACCGTGACATATGGCTTGTAATCTGCTCCCATCGATCATGTTGAACTGTTCATGCCTTTGTTGTACCCATTCGGCCTCGTCAAGCTTTGCCTGAGAGAGAACCCTTAAGGACGGAATTTCGACTTCCACGGGTAGGACCGCTTCCATTCCATATACTAACGAAAAAGGGGTTGCTCCGGTCGAGGTGCGGATCGATGTCCGATATGCCATCAATGCATATGGAAGTCTTTCATGCCAATCGCGATAGTTCTCAGCAGTCTTTGATAAGATCTTCTTTATGTTCTTGTTTGCCGCTTCAACTGCTCCGTTCATTTGAGGGCGATATGGTGACGAATTTAGATGCCGGACCCGAAACGTATCGAGCAATCCATCCACGATCTTGTTGTTCAGATTGGAGCCATTGTCAGTGATGATTGCTTCCGGAACTCCGTAACGGGCGATGATATCGCGGCGAATGAACCTGGCCACATTCTTTGCGGTGACATTAGCATATGAATTGGCCTCAATCCACTTCGTAAAGTAGTCGATTGCTACTAAGATGAATCTGTGTCCGTTTGACGCTTTAGGGTTGATCGGTCCAATTATATCTATCCCCAACATGAAAAACGGCCAAGCTTGAGACATCTAATGGAGTTCGTTCGGCGGAGCATTAATCCTGTCCCCATAAATTTGACATCGATGGCAGCATCGCACATGCTGAATACAATCAGACTCCATGGCCAACCAATAGTACCCGAGCCGCATGATCTTCTTTGCTAGGAGATGGCCGTTCATGTGGGGGCCACATTCCCCTTCATGTATTTCTTTCATCAAACGATTGGCCTCTTTCGCGTCGATACATCTCAGTAACACTGAGTCATAAGATCTTTTGTAAAGTGCATCCCCGCTAATGAAGAATTTTGAGGCCAGCTTCATCAGATATTTCCTGTCTGATGCTTCACTTCCTTGAGGGAACTCACCTTTCTGCAGGTAATTCAGAATGTCATGGTACCATGGTTCTCCATCAGGCTCTTCTTCAATTACCATACAATAGGCTGGGCGCTTAAGGATTTCAATCCTTAATGGTTCGATGTCCAAGCCTTTTGTTGCTTGCAGCATTGACGATAACGTGGCTAAAGCATCAGCGAACTGATTCTGAGACCTGGGTAGGTAATCGAATGATATTTCTTGGAATTCTTTCACCAGCTCTTCCAGAAACTCATGGTACGGGACTAGTTTTGGATCCCGCGTTCGCCACTTGCCTTCGGTTTGAAGGATAATGAGGGCCGAATCGCCATAGACTTGCAATTTTTGGATCACCATGTCAACAGTAGCTTGGAGGCCAAGGATACACGCTTCGTATTCCGCGATGTTATTCGTGCAAGGGAAAGTCAATTTGGCTGCCACGGGGTGGTGCTGACTATCCGGGGAGACGAGAACTGCCCCAGTACCGTAACCAGATAAGTTGACTGCACCGTCAAAGTACATGGTCCATTTGTCATTCGACGCAAATAAGATCTGCCTATCCATGCCACCATTTTCATCGGGGTCTTCCGCTTTTTCAAGATTTTCTGCTAACATGTCCGCTATGGCTCTGCCCTTTACGGATTTTTGCCCCGGGACTTTGCACGTCGAATTCTGAAATTAGAATCTGCCACTTGGCCAGCTTCCCCACCAAGGCTGGCTTCTCTAAGAGATACTTGATAGGATCATTCTTAGTCACTAGCAGAACTTGGTGATGGAGGGTGTATTGGCGTAGCCTGTGCAGCACCCATACCAAGGCTATGCACGTCTTCTCAACCTCCGGATAGTTCACCTCGGAGGTAGTGAATTTCTTGCTGAGATAATATATTGCGTGTTCCTTCCCATCGTCCGGCCTTTTTTGGGCCAGCATGGCTCCCAGCGATTCATCATGGATAGTTAGATACAAAATTAACGGAACTTTGGGCACTGGCGGGACCAGGATCGGGGAATGAGTCAGTAATACTTTATCTTTTCAAAGGCATCCTGACATTCGGCGTCCCATTCGATTTTCGCGTTCTTCTTCAAGAGTTTGAAAAATGGCCTTGCTGTTTCTGACAACTGGCAGATAAATCTTGCTACATAATTTAACCGTCCCAACAAACTGCGGACTTCTTTGACAGTGGCCGGAGGCTGCAAGTCGCAAATGGCCTTTACCTTCGACGGGTCAATCTCGATGCCTTTGTTGCTGACCATAAACCCTAACAACTTTCCAGACTTTGCCCCAAATACACATTTCGCGGGGTTGAGGCGCAACTTAAACTTTCGGAGGCGATCAAATAACTTTTGCAAAACTTCGACATGGTCTTCGCCTCGTCTTGATTTCGCAATCATATCGTCTACGTACACCTCGATCTCCTTGTGCATCATGTCGTGAAATAACGCGACCATGGCCCTTTGATATGTTGCCCCGGCGTTTTTCAGATCGAAAGGCATCACCTTGTAGCAAAAGGTCCCCCACGGGGTTATAAACGAGGTCTTGCTCCTATCCTCCCTCTTCATACGGATTTGATTATACCCTGAAAATCCATCCATGAAGGAGAACAATTCGAATCCTGCAGTACTATCGACCAAGACATCTATATGTGGGAGTGGAAAGTCATCCTTCGGACTAGCTCGGTTTAAGTCGCGATAGTCCACACAAACCCTGACTCGACCGTCTTTCTTCATCACTGGCACAATGTTTGATATCCAATCGGAGTAATGCGACACTTCGATGAATCCCACTTTTAGCAATTTCATAACCTCTTCCTCGATTTTCTTGGACAACTCTGGCTTGGTCCTTCGGAGTCTTTGCTTCCTTGGCAGTATGTCAGGGTCAGTTGGTAGAGCATGCTCTACAATCTCTGGATCCAATCCCGGCATGTCAGCGTACGTCCAGGCGAACACATCCTGATATTCTTCAAGAAGGCGAACCATTCTTTCGGCCTCTGCTTTCGAAAGACTTGCCCCGATCTTTATTTCCTTGACGTTTTCATCATTACCCAAGTTTATGGTGATTGTTTGCTCCACTGTTAATGGCCTTGATTCCTCATGTCGCTTCCATTCACGCTCAATCCCCTTCGGATCATTGTCATCGCTATCGATATCTGAGAGATTCCCTTCGTGCGAATCCGAATCACATGCGTCCTTACCATGATTATGCATAATGTGATGCCTGAGATGTGATGAGATGAGTTAGGACACAAAACATGGTACATGCCATTTCGAAAATGCTTTTGAAATTTTTTTGGAAAAGGCTTTTAAGAGCTCATCCTCGTGTCATCGGATTTCCTTGCTCATGAAGACCATGAAAACTGGGAACACGTGGAACCCCAGCCCTCAACGACCATCATAGGACTAGTTTGGTACGGTTCCACGTGTCCTTAATAAAACATGCACGCATTTCATTGAATTAAAAGGATAAGGCCGCATTACAACACATACTGCCCCGAACCAACGGCTCAAGATTCGGGGCTGAACAAAGTTTTCATTACAAACGAGTTTAGATTAGCAAATTGAAACAACGCTAAGCTCCCACGCAGGGGAGAGGACATAAAGCAAATAACAACACTAATGGGAACCACCCTACTCTACAGGGTCGGCGACACTTCCAAAAGATTCAGCTTCCTCACAGGTCAGGATAGTGCATATGACATTCTCCTCGAATAGCTTAGCTATACTGTCGATGGCCGCCTCTTCCTCATGTAGCATCTTCGGAGGCCCGGGGAACATCTCTTTCAATAGGGGGAGTAATAGGCCTCGGCGGCCTTTTTCCACTCCAATATGTCCGCCATGGTCCCCCTGACCTGCGCCTCGGCCTCCTTGGTTGCCCCGGCCTCCGTCGCTACCTCGACCTCCACAACCATTTCGGCCTACATTGCTACCTCGCCCCCTAGAGCCGCCTCGGCCTCCGTGATTACCTCGGCCTCCATCATTGCCTCGACTTCCGTTGTCCCGACCTTCACGGCTGCCTCGGTCTCCATTATCTTGGCTTCTCTGATACCCTAAGCCTTCCCTCCTCGCACCTTTTCCGACTTCGATGGGTTTCCGAATCCCTTGCCCATGCAATCCGAGGCCTTCTCCGTGGCTGTACCCGTTTGCGAGCATAATTTTTCCAGCTGCTAGAGTTGGGTTGGACAGTTCAGGGGTGCCCATGAGTGAGCCAACGGGAACGTGGACCATAGATACTAATTCCAGAGTTTGGAAACTGGATTCCTCTTTGCATTCGGGCTCCACGTACGGGATGGCTGTCTCGTGATAGACTTTGAAGTCTGTTTCTCCATGTACTGTAACAAGCTTGCCGTCGACCACAAACCGCACCTTCTGATGGAGACTAGAGGGTACAACACCCGTGGTATGAATCCATGGTCTCCCTAATAGAAAGTTGAATGCACTTGGGATGTCTAGTACCTGAAAAAGCACCAGAAACGTCACGGGACCGACCAGGAGTTCCAACTCTATCTCTCCTATTACTTCCCTTCTAGTGCCGTCGAACGCTCGTACGGGATTTTTGGCGGTACGCATCCTCCCTAGATCGACCTTTAAGAGACGGAGAGTGGCTAACGGGCATAAATTCAAAGCGGAGCCATTATCGATCAATGTCCTTGCGACCATCATATCGTGATGCTTAACCGAAATGTACAAGGCTTTATTATGATTCCGGCCCTCTACCGGAAAGTCTTCGTCCGCAAAAGAGATTTGATCCTTCAACAGGATGGTCCCCACAAATTCTTCTAACTGGGCTTCGTCGATCGTCTCCGGGACATGAACCTCGTTAAGGACCTTTAATAAGGCATCCTTGTATTTCTCAGAAGATTTGAAAAGATCCAGGAGAGAGATTTGGGCTGCCATTTTCCGCAGTTGGTTTACCACGTTGAATTCACTCGTTTTTATCACTGTCAAAAATTGCTTTGCGTCTTCTTCGGTCACTACTTTTTTCTCAATTCCTTCGGCAGGCGCATAGCAGCGACCTGATCGGGTGATAGCATCCACTTCATCCGTTTCGTAATCCCACGGGACCGCCTTAGTATTGAAATCCGGAGGGGCTTCAACGATTATGACCCCTTCTTCTTCCAGGGATGGCAGCTCGATCACAACTTGCGTCATATCCTCCCTTCCAACCTGGATTGCTGAGAATTCTTCAGTTGCGAGATCAATTATCACTGGCTCGACATCCTCCACCTCCTGATCACTAGCATAATCTTCATCAGAGAAGTATATCACGACTGGTGTTGTCATGGCGACTAATCCCTGTCCCATATCAGCACTCCCGATCACCCCCATGCTCATCATTCTACGAACATAGTCTAATTTTTCCTCCCTCGTCACATCCTTTCCTCCTTCGTGGTGTCCAGCTAGCTGAAGAATTTTGTATAGCCTTGGGATGTTCACCATGAAGGTTTGTTTGCTCACGTTCGCTTTTTCGAACACCACATTTACGCCCTCGGCATGGTCGGGCAAAGGATTTTGCTTCACATTGGGTCGCGCTCTCTCGAACGATAGAATTTCCTTGTCCAACAGGTTTTGAATCTTGATCTTTAGTGCAAAGCAATTGTCCGTGTCATGCCCCCTTTCCCCCCGGTGGTATTCGCATGTCTTGGTCATGTCAAACCCAGGGAATCTTGGAGGATTGTCCCTAGGTACTTCTTTGGCTACCATCCTCCTCTCAATGAGCATAGGCAATAACTTTGACAAAGATTTTGGCAGCGGGGAGAATTCCCTATGAGGAAATCTCTTATTTCGATCATGCCCTTGTGGCGCATGCCCTTGTACGATTGATGGCTTTTGTGGGGGTGCTGAGAAAGACTTAGACGGCTCTTGGACAAATGCAACTTCGACAGCGGTTTCCTTGTTCTTCCTTGTTGGGAATCCTTTGCTATTCCCTGCGGGTATTCTCCCATCGACAATCGCCCATTCTACCCCTTCGCCCACTTCCACCAGTTGGGAAAATGTTTAACATCCAGAAGTTAACATTCCGTGAAAATACTCAGGTGGCAGGGTTTTCAGAAAAAGTTGCCTCATCTCTCTCTCGATCAGCGGGGGCTTTACTTGTGATGCCATCGTCCTCCACCTTTGAGCGAATGCCTTGAAAGGTTCATTCCTTCTCTTTTCTAGCCGAACCAAGTCTTCTCTCGTGGGGATGATTTCAGAGTTGAACCTGTACTGCTGAAGGAACTCTTCGGCAAGATCTTCCCATGCTGTGATCGTCTCAACATCCAGCGCAATGAACCATGACAAGGCAGGGCCAATCAAGCTATCTTGGAAGGTCTGGATGAGGAGTGGTACGTTGTCGGAATAACGAGCCATTTTTCTCAAGTAATACTTGAGATGAGTCTTAGGGCAACCGGTGCCATCATATTTCATGCTAAATTCCGGTTCCTTGAAGGCTTCAGGGACTTTTACTTTAGCATATGGAGATAACTTATCAACCCCTCGCATCTCATACCCTTGAAGAACACAGAGTCGTTCCTCCATCTTGGCTAAGCGCCTTGCGCTTTCCTCATCGAGGCGGGAGATAGGCTCCTCCCTTGGAACAGGGTCCAGATTTACAATGATCGGTGTGACAGAAGGGGAATCTGATGCTGTCCCCTTTTCAGGAGGATCCGTGGCATGTGGATCAATGGCTAACGGGGGAGTATGCCCTGACGAGGTGGGGACAGAAGCCTCGGTGGCATGTGCAGGCGGAGGATCCTGGAGTTTCTGACTTATTTCGGCCATCATGGCAATAAGTTAGGCCAGTTGGTTTTCCATGTTGGTCATGCGCGCATTGGCTTCTTCGCTTTCCATTCTGACTTTTGCACAGGTTCGGATCGGGGATCTCCTTTTAGCCGTCTCGGTTATCTTGGTGGAACGGATGCACTAGCTGAAGCCTGGTTGTGACGGCTACAGGAAAAAGCTCCTCAATCTCGATTTCACTCTCCGCGCGTTGATTGAGCTCGAATTGACAAATACGGACGGTTCGTAATCACCTGAATCATAAATAAGCAAGCATACATAAGCACATGATTCATATAGAATACCGGTCCATGACAATGGTCTAGCCGCTTTCATTCATTAAAATGTTCTTAATTGAGTAACACTCCTAAACTTGAAAAGTGAACTAAAAAATTGAAAACTCGAAGCTTCTAAACATCAAGCTAATAAAACAAAATAAGATAAAATGAGAATCCTAAGACAGATGAACGGAATGACTAAACCCAAAATGACAAACTCAATCTATCCTACTCCTCTTGATCTATATGCGAATGGGAAGCCAATGCTCGACGCAACTGCCTATTCTCCTTGGCAACACGCTTCAAGCTTTCTTCGGCCTTCTCTGTCTTCCTCTTGAGATAGTTGATTTCTGATTGGCGCGTTGGCTTCTTGGTCATGTCCGGGATCTTTGGGAGAAACTCGGTCGGGATCTTATGTCGACGGATGTATCGGGCCGTGGCATAATAAGTCTTTTCTTTCCCTTCGAGCTTGTCTTCAGGCCAACTTAACCTCTGAGCATGGCAGGCGAGCCAAGCCTGTTCAGCATGGCGAAGTTCTCTTTTGTAATCTCTTCCCTTTCTGGTAAATCGGACTTGTAGCGAATCTGGCTTGAGAGGAGGTGGTAGATCCTGAACGACCCGATATTGGCGGGCCACTCGGAGCGGGTAGTAGGAAGTGATGCCGGTGATTCCCAGCAATGGGATTGGTTCATTATTGCCATGAGAGAGACGTCCCTCACGAAGTCGGAACCACTTAGCTTGCCATAGGAAAATCTTGGTTTTCGGATTTTTCAACAAATCTACCCATTCTGAGAAAGAAAGATTCGGAGTTCGATCCTGATAATTCTTAAATGCCTCAATAGGGTGATTAGACTCACTAATGTCATTGATATTCATGCGAATACCAAATTCACTTGTATGAGAGAAAAACCAGATTTGTAAAAGCTCGACAGGAGCACGGAAAACTTTTTCTTCATTTTCTTTAAATCGGGTGAGTGATAAAAATGTTTCAGCCAAGATAGTATTGACAAAGCTAACTCCACCACATACTTGTTTGACCACCCATGCAACGGAAGGATCAATAGCATTCTTGCGAAAGGGAAAAATTATGAACCCGAAGAAAGCTAGAATGAAGATTTTACCTTTTAAAAGGGTCTCAGCATTTGCAAAACACTGACCTAAGAAAGAAAGTGGGCATGCATGGCAGTTTTCTTTTAGCACCCTTTCGATTTGATTCTTGTTCATCCTAAGAAAGTCAGACAAAATTGATTCCGATTCAGACCCGAGGGGTGGATCGATTAACTCCAGATCCAAAGGTTTTCCTATGGCAACGCTATATTCTTCCAAAGTCGGAGTCAACTCATGCTTATGGAATATGAACGTGGACGTTTGGGGACACCAAAAATGGGCTATTGCTTGCATGACCCCGCTTTGGATGTCGATGTCGAGAAGAGGCAAAAGGCGACCAAGTTTGTTCTCCACATAGGCTCGGCCCTCACGATCCAACTGATCCCACCAATGCTTGAGCTCGGCCTTCGGAGTAGGAACGAATCGAATGTCGGATCTTCCCATTGCATATAGACCAAGACTCGACCAACCTAACTGTCATGGACCAGCCAAAGCATAAAAGTAAGTAAATTGCAAAAGAAAATGGTAGGAAACTTACTTCACCAAACAATTACGACAACCATATAGACATACGCATGAAGGGTGTGGCTCAACTTCTATTCTAAACGGCTTAACAAATTGGAGCTACGAGGGTGGAATGACTAGTCGCGGCCTCGCGTACTAAGCCAAGTCCTCGCGACTCCGGCTCAGTCGGGAATGATACCTCAATGCGACGCGGCCTCGCGGGCAAAGGTAAACATTCTCGACACCAAGAAAGAAGCTTTCGGGATTGAGTTGGGCAACCTCTACTACGCGGCCTCGCGGTCGAAGTCGTATCCAACTCAATACCATCCTAAACATTCCTAGTGCGGCCCAGGACCGACGGCGGGTTGTGTGTATGCCATAGTGTAGTGCTAAAACATTTAAAGCATGCACAACAGTTTATAAGCAAACAATGCTTCAAGCATCCGAAAAAAAATAAACATTCATTCCCCAAATCCCAAACCTGCAAAATAAGGGGTCAACGGCAAGAACATTCACGTTAGGGATATATTTGAACAAGATAAACGGCCTAAGTCCACTACGAAACTTCCCCAGCGGAGTCGCCAAGCTGTCGCAACCTCCCCGAACCGGCCCAGCCGCCTAAGGGGTTTGGCTAATGGATAACTAAGTTAAACCTAGCTCGAGCTCTCCCAAGCCCATACCAATTCGCGACTTAGGTTTAAGTTGTTAACATGCAAATCAATTTCGTCTAGGAGTCGCCACTAATCGATTCTTGGTGGGTCGATTATACACCCAAGTAAAGCACGGGAGAAATACTTTACTCCTATGAACCAGAGATTCAATGGGTACGGGGACTTGATTACACTAATTGACTAATTAGTGCCCCTTCGGTACCTAATCTTGCTCAATTCACCACTTGACATGCTCACACTAATTGGGAGTCTCAAAATTCCATTCTTAACTAGGCCAAAGAAAGCAACAGTCAACGCCTAGACCTAACATGCATAATCAACTACGTGCGAGGTTAAATCAAACGCACAATTCGAAGTGTGTGAACCAAGCAATGTGCAATCGAACATGACACTAATCACACCATAGTCTAAATAATTTTTTTTTTATATGTCCTAATAGACCATATTAATGCAAATGCGCCTAATGTCTATATGCCATGCAATTTAATGAAAATGTTTTTTGTTTAGTGGTTTAAAAATTAAACCCTAAAATTTTTTATAGGATAAAACCCTGAATAATTTAAGCAAAATTTAGGTGTCAACACCGACAGGGTAGTTAATACAAAGTATTTAAAGAAAGCAAAGATATCCAAAAAACTGTGGGCAAATGTGCACAGCAAGAGAAAAGAAAGAAAGGAAGGAAGGAGGACGAGTGTACAATTTTTTTTTTATCATTTCTAATGTATGTGTCATTCAATCAACTTTTCATCTAAACGTCGTGTGTCTAAAAGTGTCAAAAACAGCTTATGTATTTGTTGGCGGAGTATCATCCATGTGTGAATAGTACTACCGAGTTACTTTAATTTTAGCTCCTATCATGTTGTGTCTAATCGCCATTCTTAATCTTTGCCTTGGTCGTGTCATGAAGTGTTGGGATCTTTTTGTCCTTTCTTCAAGGGGATACAATCCAAGGCAAAGCTTTTATTGTGAATATGAACATTACTTTTTCTGACCTGAAACTGAGCCTTTTTGGGCATAAAAAGTTGCCAAAGGACAATTTTCTCTTTAAAAGAAAATTTCTTTGATTAAATAGCCTCATCAACTCTTCTTAAAATTTCTCCTATAAATTAATGCCCTGAAATTTTCAAATATCTTGTTTTTCTTCTGCTCCTGAAATTTTCAAAAGCAGTTTTTCAATATATTATGTGATAATCTATCCCTTTCTTTTGGAAAAATTACCGAAAACACTAGTTCATGTCGCACATAAAATTTAACTTCACATCAATACTACTTATCTATCACATGCAAAAAAAAAAAAAAACAGTGACTGGGATGTAAATGAAGAGAATGAGCTATAGACGTATCCTCGCTTTGATGACCGGTCTTATCATTCCCATGTGTGCTACAATGAAGCACAGGTAACCCTAACTCAAAACGCAGTTCTTGCTCTTCCTTTTAGACAGGGAAAGCTCATCTCATCCCAGTGCTGCATGTTTTTCTTTGTTTATTAACCACTAAAGTTGAATCGCACGTTTCACAACTCTATCTCTGGTTTCTTTTTTTCCCTCATAATGTTAGGCACAATGAGAAATAACCACTACAAAAAAACATGTTTTTTGCGACGAAAAAATCGCAAAAATCCATCGCAAATCATTTTTGCGACGAATTTAGCGACGGAAAAAATTCTGTCGCTATTAGGTCGTCGCAAATTTTTGCAACGGAAAATATTAATTTTCGTCGCAAATTTGCGATGGAAAAAAAATTCGTCGCAAAATTCGTCGCAAATAATTCGTAGCAAATTAGCCACGAACACTATCCGTCGCAAATATTTCGTCGCAAATAATTCGTAGCAAAATTCGTCGCAAAATTCGTCGCAAAATTCGTCGCAAAAAAATTCGTCGCAAATTTCGTTGCAAATGTAGTCGCAAAATTCGTCGCAAAATTCGTCGCAAATATCGACGCAAATTTCGTCACAAATTTAGTCGCAAAATTCGTCGCAAATTTAGTCGCAAAATTCGTCGCAAATTTGGTCGCTAATTATTCGTCGCAAATTCCGTTGCAAATGTAGTCGCAAAATTCGTCGCAAATATTGACGCAAATTTCATCACAAATTTAGTCGCAAAATTCGTCGCAAATTTGGTCGCTAATTATTCGTCGCAAAATTCGTCGCTAATTTGCCGCGAACTATATTCGTCGCTAATTTGCCAAAAAAAAAATTTTGGTCTGTAATTTGCAGCGAACTTATTCATGGCAAAATTCGTCGCTAATTTGCCACCAAATTTTTTTACATTTGCCATCAACATTATTTATGATCGAATTTAGCGACGATTTTTTATTAATTCTTTAGCGACGAACTCTGCGACGATTATCGTTTAGGGACAAAATTAGCGACGAAATTTTATTTTTGCAACGAACTTTTGTAATTTGTGATCTTACGATAAAATAATTTATTTTATTTTTTGAT